GCATACTATGTCAGTCTTTTTCTTTTTAACTATGTTTCAAAACAGTAATAAGAGAAAAAGTGTATTAAAATCATAAATGCAAATATGAATACATATATAAACTGCAAAAAGTTCAACAGATGCACTTTCCTTTGGAAAAACTAATCCATTTTGATGACTGAATCCTAGCTTGTCTAAAGTCGAACTACTAAAACTAATTAAACTTATTCTTATAGTTGCCTTTTTGTAATAATAGCTGGCTTCTTCTTCCTGCAGCATCATACAATTACACAGCCAAAAATCATGTCTAGACATCATTAAGTAGTTACAGGTTTGCGTTTATTGCTAATCCAAGTTTGCTGGTAGAGTATTATATCTAACTTTGAAACAAGGTCTGTCCATATTTTTTTAATGTAATGAACTTGTAATATCAGCTGCACAGTAAAAATGTTTCTGTGAGACAGCTACTGGAAAGTAACCACAAATAAAAAGTTAATAACTCTGGGGTATAGTTTATATTTTCTTCTCTGTTTGTACCAAAATGTTTAATCTACTTCAAGTAGCTTTCATGTTACAAGAATGTCAAAATAGCATAAAGCTTACAAACTAATCCTGCATTTGTGTAAAATTAAACTCAGGATTTTAAGATTTAAAAAATATCCAGTTGTCCTGTTGCGACCTCCCTTGCAGACAGCAAACACAGACTACCAATATAAAGGCATTAAAGCAGTATATATCACAGAGGACTAAATACCTTGCAACCAAGAATTTTAGGGACGATTGTCTTAAAAACTAACTCCATATTAAAAAGCACAAAGAGATGATTTCAAAGGAGAGTCAAGAACACTTAAAACCCCTACTTATTACTCATTCATTTCATTCAGTCCTAATTAAATTGTTCAGATTGAAATTCTATTACAACTGCTTAAAAGCATATAGATTCTCTGTAAAAACAACTCAGAGCTAAACCATTATGCTCATTAGGAACAGTAACACTTTATTTTAAAAAGAGCACAGTTTGTTTTTTTTTTTTAATTTGCCCAAAAGCATTCCTTGTTGTTTTTCCAAGAATATTTGTCCTCATAAATCTCCTGGAAATATAAACAAAGAATGGGAAATATTGCAGGAGTCTGCTACATACAGCCACAAGCCAGGCCCAACAACTCAACAGCCATCCTGCTGTTATTTATTGATCACAACAGGACTACACAGCACTTAGCTGGCAAACAGAAAAGAAGACAGCATCCTTAGAACATACTGACTTACATATGGGCAGATCCTGTACCTTGGGCTGAACCCCATTAAAGAAAGAGATCTAGAAGAAATAATGTAAAAGCTGTAAAGTACACAGCACTTGTGTCTGAAACACTGCCCTTTTTACATGTTGCTATGTTAACCTACTGTACCATCATATTTAGGAATGAGAGTATTTAAGTGTATATAAAATGTTAATATTAAAAAAATAAAAATTACAATACCCAAAATACAGTAAGTATTAAATCTTCAGGACAGACTGGACTACCCAGCAGCAGTCCAGTCCTAAGCAGTGAATTCAGCAGGGCTCTGAGCCCCTGATTATTCTTTCTGAGACCACAGAACTCCAGTCTCCTGAAGGAGGTATCAGAAAAGTGGAGCAATGCAGAGAACATCACTGCTACCACATGCCAAGTTTTGCTTGGGAGATAAGGCAGAGGTAATGCTCATTACTTGCATGCAACACTGTTGTTATGCAATGAGACTCTTTCTAGACCTGGACTCATCTCTCCACACGTTATTTTGTGCCCATACTAGCTTTGGGACCTCTGCACAACCCTTTATTGTGTGCTGTTGCTTAATGCTTTGTGCTTTCTCAAGGCCACAGGGATAAGGGGAAAACAGAAAGACAAGAAATGCCACTTTTACTCAGAAACTGCAATGCTTTCCAAAGCGGAGCTGACTTAAGGCTCTTCCACAAGCCTGTGCAGAACTGAATTTTTGCCACCCAAAAAGTGGGATGTTGTGACTGTGAGCCACTTGCTCAGGGCTCCTTCACTTTGACCCCAGGATGTAGTTAAGAGGAAAAGAAGCTGGATGGTACAGGCAAGGGAGGGCCTTCCAGGTGCCCTACCTGCCACAGATGGGCCTCATTGCATTAAAGGAAACTCACTGGTGCTAGACATTAGCATCCTCTCAGGAGCAACTGTTGCCTGTAATGCTTCAGCTCCTTCCCTTAAGAGCAGCAGCAGCTGCCAGCCCAGCCATCTAAGACTCTGGAACAGGCCTAGAACCATATTTGTCCCAAACATACCTTTTTCCATATTGGGATGGATGCTTTTAAGGTGTTGATGCAGTACATTACAGCTTCAAGGGATTCTGCTCTGTGTGGAGAAGACTACAATAATTACACTTGCTTCAGTTATTAGAACCACACTAGGGAAAAAAGAGGAACAACGGCAGCTTTAGCTAAAGTTTAACATCAAGAACACACAAAAGTTGTGGTCCTGTCATGTCAGTATTCTGGCCACACACTCTCCTGACTCATTCATACTGAGCAAGTGTCAAGCCATGTCCAAAAGATTATCCACTTTTTAAAAGAAAGAAAACCACAACCAAAATCAGTACCAGATGTGAGAATTCCATGCTTTAGAATAAATAAACCCACCGGCCATAGGCTTATTTCTTCTATTTTTTTTTTTAAATAAAGTCTATGGAATTAAGAGGAGAAAATTGCTAACTTGAAACAATGCATAGGAAAATCACTGGAAGCTGGCTTAATAATGAACAATAACAAGTCAGGAACGGCCAGTTCTTATCTGAAAACCTGAGGAGTTATCTCAGTTTGCACAAGAATTTGTGAAAGAAGAAATTAAATGCCTCAAACTATGCAGATTTTGCAATGAAATTTAATTTTGACAAATTCTGATTTCAAATTATGAAGTTTTTCCTGTTTGGTGTGTTGTTTTTTTCCAAACTTAGTTAGCAGAAGTAGCACAAGGTTTTGGTTTGCTCCTCACAAGGGTAATATTCCAAAAAGCTGCCTCCCAACCCTCCCTCTATAGTAAGACTCCTCTGGCAAACAGCTCAGAGGAAAAAGCTAAGCTTAAATGCTTTGAGCTGCCCTTGAGAAAATTGCTCTCTTTGTCGCCTATAGAGGAAATCTAAGGAAACTACCCCTCAGAGGCTGAGGGACAGCGATCACCCCTTTGTGATCACCTCCTAAGTTCCTTCTGCTGAGAGATAAGGAAACAAGCATTTGTAACACACACTGCAAATCCTGCTAGTTTCAGTGAGAAATCTGATGAATAGTGAAGGGTCAAGAGTATGTCAGACACTAATATTCCATGTTTTAAACCCACCAGAAAATGCTTATCCAAGACTGGAGGAACAACAGAAGGTTCTCCTACGACATTGGCTAGCAATTACCATGCCCCTCTCCCTCCCCACAGTCTAAGTTTTCAGGTTCCCTATGGCATAATTTGACTTCAATCTGAAACCAACATTCTGTGGCACCTCAATGGAAGAAAGAAGAAAAAACAAAGTGGTGCCAACTTCATGACTTTAAAAAAAAAGCAAAAAAACCAACAAAAAACAAAAAACCCAACAGCATCCCCTTACCAGCAAGGAGTTCTCAATCCCTTCTCCACACTTTCAAACCATCACACCAGCATCAAGGTTCCTGCAGTATAAATATGGATTCCAGCAAACACTACCAAAACACGCATTTTGAAAAAGACTATTTCTGAAACTTAGCTGTGCAGCAAGAGCTTGATCCTGCAGCCAGCTTTACTGCATTACAGTTTATATAGACTCTTGTACATCCTGCAACTATGTAAGCACAACCATGCACCAGACAAGGATTAATATTCCACTTGCAGAAGGATGTGGTCTGACCATACATACCCAAGTCTATGGTGCACTGCAATATGTTTGACTGATGGCCATATCTAACATCTCTGCAGATTTTCTTTATTTTGGTCTCTGCCATTGAAGTATACACTTCACACTCCAAGTGAATCACTTTTTTCCCTTCAAAATTATTTCTCATAGTATCTAAACACAAATAAGTTATCAACCAAAAGCACCAATAAATACTGAATAAAACCCACTACAGCCAAGGTCAGCACTGTGCAAACATAAATGACCTCCCCTAATCATGGTTGTGTAAAGAGATTCTTTGAACAAGAGAAATCTATAATATACAACTAATAATTTAGTCTACAGATTACACAAGTCTGCAATCTGTAATGCCCAAGGCTGGGACATCTTCTGTGGTAACTGCTAAGATGCTATTATTGCAGTTGCTCATGCAACATTTAAGTGCTCAGTATTTAGGAGCCCAGTGGCACTAAGGGGTTTCAAGACCTGTACCATGTACATTAAGCAACAGGACAGAGCCCTCAGCCTTGACCTTCACTAGCCCATGGATAAAATAGTACTTTGCTTTCAACCAATATCTGAGTTGCAGCAGCTTTCATACAGATGTGGACCTGTGGTTTTCATAGCCACAATATCCCACTTCCCACCTTGAATAAGCTGTGTCCAAGGGGATGGGAGAATAGCTCCCAAGTAGTCCTGCACTCCAGAGCTGCTGTTCTGTTCAACCCTAGGATAGCCACACCAGCAGGGAAGCTTCTCACCACTTTGTCCCAATGCAAATGTTTAATAGCTGCCATGGAAGCTGGATATCTACTGACACCAGAAACAACTACTAAAGAATAACAAGACCTAAAACCCAAATTCAAAACAATTCCCGACCTCTGCGGCAATTTTCTTCCATTTACTACATATGTGTTAATCATTTATTGGCACACCAGCTTATAGTTTTCAATCAGCACAATGGTTCTCTCCAGCAGGAAACACAAGTTATGCTCTCTCACAAGAGGACTGGGGGTGTAGGGCAAGAATTGCAATCACATCTCTGAACCTAAACAAAAAAAGATTAAAAGAAGTTTATACAGAATCCATGAGATATTTTACCACAGGATGACACTCAATAGGAAACTAAGCATAAGTGATGCCTACTTAACAGAGCTTGGACAGATTCAGCCTCCACTAATTGGTGGGATGATGGCAAGCTTGTCTCTGGGCTGCAGGACCAGGACCTGATCTCCAAGAAGCACATATTCCTGCCAAACAGCAAAACCAACTTGATCCCAGATGACAACAAGCACTCCAGAAAGAACTGAGTTAGACAATGGGACTCATTTTAAAAACAATCTTATAAGTAATGGGGCCAAGGAACTTAGGCATTGAGTGGATATATCATATCCCCTATCGTGCACCAGCTTCTGGGAAGATTGAGCGATACAATGGACTGTTAAAAACCACCCTAAAAGCTATAGGAGGTGGAACCTTTAAAAACTGGGACAAGCATTTAGAGCAAGCCACCTGGTTAGTTAACACCAGGGGATCCATCAGTCGAGCTGGTCCTGCTCAATCAGACCTTTTACATACTGTAGAAGGGGATAAAGTCCCTGTGGTGCATGAAAGGAATTTGTTAGGGAAAACTGTTTCCGTTTTTCCTGCTTCAGGCAAAGGCAAACCCATTCGTGGGACTGTTTTTGCCCAAGGACCTGGATTTACTTGGTGGGTGATGCTGAAGGATGGAGAAGTTCAATGTGTACCTCAAGGGAATTTAACCCTTGGTGAGAATACTCAATCCTGAGCTGTATGATGCTGATCACTACATAATACTAACAGTGTTCAATAAGTGTTTTTCAGGATACCATAGTGGTGATGAGACCTGAGCTAGCTTCATCAAGTGGCGTCCAGCAAGCTCTTCGAGGTGGACATGCTACCCATGGGCACGAACCAGAATGAATTTCGTACCATCTTTCCTGCCCTGAGATTAAATCCTGCAATCATGAACTAAATGAACTTAATGGACTTTTGTGTATAAAGATAAATCATAGATGAGTGACTTGCATGTATCTATATGTATATCTGTGTGTATAGATTTGACAGATAAAAAGTAATAGTGATCTGAGCAAGATGCAAATGGTATGGAATAAGGGGTAGAATATCCTGGTTTGAGGTAAAACAACCAATTTTCTGTTCAGTAACTTCACTTTTTAGCTAAGCCTCTTCTAACTACTGAAATTGGCAGCATATTGTGCAGAAACTGCTCTCAGAGTGATAAGACCTAGGTTTATGGTTGATGCCAAGGCATGGTATGCAGAGAGGCTCTTGCTTATACTTGTTGCTATAAAAACCAAGGTTAGCTAACTTTGTTATATGCCCTGTTGGAGGGTAGGAAGCGGAAAAGCGTAGAGGGGTCCCACCCGTGGGGAGGAGCAGACAGGACAGGTGACCCAAAACTGACCAACAGGGTATTCCATCCCATCTGCCTCATGATCAGTATAAAAGCTGAGGGATCAAAGGGTCAGGGCTCTTCCTTCAATGGCCGACGTCTGAGGAGGACTCTGTTTGTCTGCCTTTGATCCCAAATCCAGATTCAGAATCGTGTTCCCGTCCATCACTGAGTCCAGTCTTGGTCTTTCCCAGTGCCAGCCGGTGACGTGATTGTCATCCTGGGAGCTTGATACAGTTTTGTATATATTTCATTATTTCATTTTTATTTTATTATTAATATTTCATTAAAGTAGTTTAGTTCCTTCTAAACTCATGAGTCTTTCTCTCTCTCCTGCCTCTCTTCAGAGAGAGGTAGTGGAGAGCATCTGTCGTTTTGCCTGAGTGGCCAATCCGGCCCAAACCATGACAGGAGGATTGACAAGAGCACAAAGAGGTTAAATGCAAACACTCTATTTAGAAGCCATAAGATTTCATTAAATAACAAACTGGTACACAGTCTAGGGCAGCTGAGGTAAATACCACTGAGACCTATGCAACTCTGCTTCCAATATACTTCAAAAAATATGACAAACACCCACCTCCTACTCTTGGATTTTCTTGTTGCGGTTAAGGAGAAACCAACTCAGTATAATTTTCAGAAGTCAGAAATTGGATTTGTTATAGGCCTTAAAACTATACCAGTACCAACCAATGTATACCCAATCCACTTTAAAAGCTTCTAACAAAGAAGTAGGTAACTCAAGAGGATATCAACTATCCAATTTGATATTATAAGGAAATGTTCCCCTGATTCACTCTGGTTGGACTGGATAGCAATTTTCTTACACAGCAAGAGGTGTTGTGGGATGCTGTTCATGAGATCTCATAAAGATTTGGTGGTTAAAGAGTTGCTTTTGTTGTGTAACCTCACAGTTTATGAGGCTTTACGTCTTTTGTACTTAACAGGTCTGACATTTGCTATTGATAAGGAGTGGCAACAGAGCTAAGAGAGCAGATATGGTTTTCTGGCAGACCTATATATTTTTTGGTCTTCACATCTGAGATGATGTTGTGAGAGTCCACAGCTCTGGATACCACGAGGAAGGGAGTCACTTTCACGACTAAGTGCAATCACATAGCAAATATGAGGTCTACACCAGTAAGACAGCAGAAAAAGAACACCAACATTTTACTTCAGAAGATGCAGGCATGATAACTGTTATTGTTTGAGACTACAAAATCTGGCACAGACAGCGGAGAGCTATATTGGCTAGAAACAAGCAAGCATGCCAAAAGGGTACAAGTAAAAATCATCTTATTTCCTACCAGCCAGATAGACAAAAGCAGGCAGGCAAGGCACAGGCTGAGCAAAACACAGTAGCGCTGACTCAGAGGGCAAACTGAAGGGAGGGATTGTATGAAAGTAAAGCAAGCAACTGAGGAAATGAGGGCAACTATGGAACTGAAGTGCCCATTAGAAGGATGGTTTCTAATTAATGTCACTTGCAAGTTAATTCATTAGGGAAAATGGGTGGAACAGAAGAGCATTGTCAAGTACAATCAAGCTGCAGTTTGAATATCCATTAGCAATGTGAATAGAAGTCTGTGGTCAATGCCCTACAATTATGCCGATTTTTTCCAGAAAAGCTAGGAATAGAAGCATTTTCCAAGTCAGCCACTGTGAAGTAACTGCACATACAATATGTACTGCTCCAGGTCATCATTCATAAAAGGACAAAGTTGACAAACTATGGCAAAGTAACCAAAGGTGCTGCTGCTTCCGACACCAAGTAATAGGCTGCAAAGTAAAATACACTCATTCTTTACTGCCTCCTTCTCCAAAACACACTTGGTCTCATTCTGTGTGAGGAAAAGGCTCCTGGTCTAACATTTGGTTAGAGCTTCTCATATGGAAACAGCTACCATTGTAGTTGCTTTTCTCTCATAGCCTTTGAGAGTAGATTTAATAAAGAAGGGCGGTGCCTAAAGGAAGACTTTAGCACCAAAGTCCAAACTCCAGTGCATTCAGCACTAAATCCTGAGGACCTCAAATTCTGTTTATGCCTTACTTTTTTTTTTTCTTTTTTTCCAAACGGTGTTGCACCTTTGTCCATTGTGCTCCACTAAGCACATTGGGGGGACACCTGAGGGGGACCTTCTGCTGACACCCCCAAAGAGCACTATTGCTGCAGGGATCCTTACAGCACACACCTAGCACACTCTCAGGACCACACTCTCTATAAAACACAACCAACAATGTTTGGTTTTTTTCAAAGCAAAGGAGGTTGAAAGTGGCTGAACCTATTTCCTTTGTAAGCATTGAGCAGCTGGAAGCCCATGGCAGGACTTCATTTCCCTTCTTGACCTGCCTTCCAGAGGGTGCCATAAGTTCAGACTAACAGCTAACAGCATAGTTAAAGATAAGTGATCAAAACCACCTGCACGTTATCACGAATTTCTTATTTATTGCTGTGCTAAATCCCTTCTTAAGACATCTCACGTTCTCCACAGGCACTAACACAGCTCAGGTGTTCTGTTTTCACATGCAGTGGAGTTACCACACTGTGACCCTCCCAGACAATGGGCCACATGTCTTAAACTACCCCTCATGTCCAACTTTTGGGTACATTTATTGGACCTAGTCTTTCCTAGTGTATACATAAAGCTATAGCATTTGCAATTGGCCGAAACATAAAATGCTCGCTGCAGGTTACAAGAACAAAGTAACCACTGTTTTTATGGTACCAAAGTACCAATATATGTTCCAGCTCAACTATAAATGCTGAATTTTTACTTCTTTACCAAAAAAAAACCCCAACCCATGTTAAACTTTGTGCACCTCAGCAGCAACTTTCCCAAATACCTTGGATGAATCTTAACAATCTCCTCCCAGAGCTGCAGAGAGGTGATCTGCTGTGGCACTGAGAAGGTCTCGGAGCACAGCCCTGCCAGCTCCACGCTCCTGGCAAAATACTGCACAGCGACCTGCTCGAGGAACAAACGCCATTCAGGGGAACAGGGCCCTACTGAAGAAAAAACACTATTGCACATTAGGTTCTTCGAAAATAACAACACAAAACCAAACCAGCGTGAGGAAAAGCTTTCCCTAGCTAGTAACATATGTATGTAGCTATGTAGGCATAGCTGAGCCTCTCAGCCCAGAAAACAGTCAGCTCTCAAAGATTTATCCCTAGATTTAGGGTTGAATTTAGAGTTAGGTCCACTATGGAATAAGGAGAGAAGAGTTAGTGCCAGTGATTTTTTTTATTTTCTTTATTTGAGCTCCAACTAATGACTCACCTAAGCCAATTCTCGAGTATTTTTCAAAAGATGGGTCAGTCTTCAGCCCTGTGTTGTGTGACTTAGTTAAAGGCAGAATTTGGGCCTAGAAGGCACAGGAATAGAGTAGGACTTGTGACTCTGATAATCAAGTAACTGTGTTCTAGAACCGATAAAAAGAGGTTAAAAGTTCTTAAGAAACCAAAGCAGGAATTAAGCTGAGGTGTAATATGAATGTCCAAAACAAAAGCTTTCCCTAAATACTTCTTAATTCTGGAGGTCTTTTTTTCCCAGGAACACCAGCCTCAGCCTCTTAGATGATATTTCTTTTGGAGGTCTTTAATTTTAAAAGCTGTGATGAAGCCCTCCAAAGCAGACATTTCCTATTCCGCTTTCCAACCTTTCTTTGTTTTAATGTTTAATACTGAAAAAGTGCAAATCTTACTGTACAGAATTCCATTACACCACCAAAATAGAACGTGGCTTAAACAAAATTAAATTCTAATAATACCAAGGAGAGGCAAATGATGAGGAGCTATTATTCCTATTAATTTATTTCTTACCTGCCAGCAGCATACTTTGAAGATCTAACTTGAGTATACCCAGGCTTACAGTCTAAGGCACTGATTCTGCAGCGTGCTGTTGAATGAGGAGAATCACAGCAAAGTCAATGAAACTTAAGTAGGTACACTAGTCTGCTAGTCTCAAGCTATTTTTGTAATAATTTATTACAAGAATTGGTACAAAACATGACTGCATGCACTGGGAAAACCCTTTGGGGTTTTTTTTTGGGGTGGAAACCCTCTTTAGGAATGAACTGGAGACATATTATCAATCTTTATTTCTTTTTACCAGCACTGCAGCAAAAGTGACTCTTTAGGACTGCACAATATTGTGATTATCTAACCTCTAGTAGATTTTCTGTTTCTGTTTTCATTTTAGACCTTTTCTCAGGACTATTTGGTATAAATCATGAGTTACTGCTTTAAAGTTCAGATATATATTTAGGAAGTCTCCAGAGAACTTCTTTTACTCCAGTTTTACTGTTGTGATGAATTTAGTTATGCTGGTGTTAGACCTGAGTGCATCTGTGTTATACACCAGACATGTAGGTATTGATGCATAAAACTGTATTTAGAAGAATGGACACAATCCCTTTACTTCAAGCTTCCTGAAATAACCAGGAAAAATAAAAATTAGCATGATCTGGAATAACTCTTCATTACCTGTTGCACCCTTCATTTGTCTTGGGTGACCAGCCAGATCTAAAGTCAGTTTAGCATTAACCTCCTGCTACTGAGTTCATTTAAAAGAAAACAAAGCTATCTGGAATAACCTACAAGGATCCAAAAGTGGGGCAGGTATAAGAGATATGTCACCATGAATTCCAGTCAGTCTTCCGAATTCAGGTGTGAATTTGGCCTCATGCACGTCAATGCTGGTAATAATCTGGAAAACATTTCCTTCCTATTTTGGGAGGAAGGAGAGCTGTTCCTTGAATTTCTATGGTGGAAGAATGGGGAAAAAAAGTGAAAATATGGGTCTGTCTGAGGCACTATGACCTCTAAGATTCCTGTGTGTGAGGTATATGTGGCCCTTTGACCAATGTCTTTAACATTCCCCTTGGCACTCTTTGAAATTGTCTATTACAAAATAGATGATACAGCAGTTACTTTTTGAGGGGCTAGAAGAGCGTGAATTTTTAGGTCCCTAAACCAATAGATCACCCAGTTTTCAGAGGGCCTTCCAATATAAATGCATTGCACAATTACAGAGAAAGAATACACAGCTTTAAGGCAGAGTATAAGCAGTCTGGAACTATAATTCATAAGCACAAAACTCTTTCTGTTCAACTGTCACAAGTCTTTTCTACAATAATTTCTTTTTATTTTCATTGAGCAACAGCAGTAAGTGAAATATGTAATTTAACGAGATTTAAAAAATCCATAAATTTTCTTTTTTTTCATTTTTTTATAAAGTATTTTCCTTTTCTGTTGACAGATACAGTATTCCTAAAGAGATGACCTCTTTCATTTTCATACTGTCCTTTGCCCCAAAGGATAGCTAAAGATTATACTAAACCAGCATGCACACAGCATCGTCCAAATAAAGCTAGCTATGGATGATCATTAAGCGGTATAACACATGCTCTGAAGAATGATGGGAAAGGGCATTAGGGCATTCAGTGATGATGCTAAAGTAGAAACTGTTTCTGCAATCTTTGATACCAAGGCAAAGCACAAGCTTTATCCCAAAGAACCTGATATTTCAAAGTGCCTGGTACTGAACTACCTGGCTAATATTTGATCTGGATAATCTAAATACTTAAAATATCAAATGTCATGGAAAAAAATTGTAATGTCAAAAATGCATTACTTCCTGCAAAGACCTCGAATTCTTTTAACAAAGTAGTTGCAAGGGCAAAGAATTTTGAATGCTATCAAATCTACAAGTCATATCTCTGATATTATGTTTAAAAAGATACAATTTCTCTAGTATTTCGCATGGCTTGTATGCTCTTATGTCCTTTTGTAATACACCTAGCACATGGAGATATGAAATACCTGCAGATAAATAATACAGTGTTAGTTTATACTCCCAGATTAAATTGCTGGCCCTCTAATTATCATAATGTGTAAGAATTTGAAAAATTGCACAATGTAAGAAACATTTCACAATATGGATTTGCTGAAGGTACTGGAATTCCACAGGAGTTAAATTTGATCTGGTGGTGGCTGATGAAAATATAACCAACCTCTTTACCCACCAGTTCAGAATTTGAGTTGAGGTAGAAACTTGTCATATCAGATTACACATTGCAGATACTCTACCTATCAATTTTTTATAATCATTGTAGCTGCTTTGCTCAGCTTGAAAACTGAAGTTTTGCTGAAGTTTTTACAGTGTTTGAGATCAGTATCTTTACCTACTTCTGGAAACACTCACAGCACAATCATGATAGGATATCCTGAAAATGGCAATCTACCTTAGTTTTAGATTCTGATTGTATCACATGGCTAATTCTTTCAATATCAGTGAAAATATTCCAGGTTTTTTGCCTTCAATCTTTTCTTTCTGCTTTATATGTAAAGGTTATATAGTTGATTCTGTAGAATGCTGGGCTTGTATTTAAACATCCTGATTAATTCTACACCTAAAGTTTAGTGGGTTTGAGTAATAAGGTCAAAAGTGCATACACTTTTATAAGCACTCCAAAGAGACAGTGGCACAAGATATTCTTCACAGATGAATCCTATTGCAGACAGTTAGATGCTGGGGGTAGATCTGCATTGACCCTAGCCCAGGGGGTTGGCTACAGCTTGCAACATGCCATGTTCCCATACCTACCTCCTTGCCATCTACTTAAGAGCCTTGCTGACAGTCTGCAGATTATCATTGTTATACAGTCAATATATAAAACTGAATCAGTATTCTTATTGGAAGTGTTGTATGCTTTTCACTCATGTTTTGCACATTTCAGAAAAACATTGCTAGATAATGTCTTCTACTTCGGTTGATCAAACTGGAATTATTTCCACCAGCCTGTATTCACTGTGCATCTTCAACTCTTCTTTGTGCTGGTTGACAACTGAAATGCTTTCTTTGTAAATAAGAATTGCTTTTTTTCAAGAAAAATTATATTCTGTTGAAAATTTTCCAAACTCTGGAAAAAAGTGTGATTAGTTCTGAAAGCCAGTCACTTGATAACTGTTACTTTTTAATATGAATCAATAGCTTTTGTGAGGGAGATAGATTGTGGCTGTGCAGTTAAGAATAAGTTGAGTTTTATACTTCAAATTTACATTTAGAGCCATGCTATATCCTGGCATCTAACTAGGAAATTCCGCTTACACCTAAATAATATGGGATTGCCCACACTGCAAGCAAATAATGAAAGCCTGTTTTAAAGTGTCCAAATTCTGTATACAAAACCAAGATGCTAAAGTTCCTATGGCTTTGTTTCAACTAAAAGTTTCATTTTCTTTTATAAATAAGAGCATACATATCCACATGAGGGCACCAGCTGACATCTTATTCTCAGACCAATGTGTAAACTGTTTGTGAAACAAACATGTCAATGGTCGCTCCAACCTTATACTTACAGAGCTAGAGTAAAGACTGAACTGTTAAATGTGCTCAAATTTTGTTTTATTCTTTTTTGATTCTTACAGTAGCAATATTTTAACTTTCCCAGCACTCTATATTCAACAGAAATCTTTTAATCATATAGAGATGTGGGGATGTTAATTTTATTTCTTTAAAAAAAATTTAAACCCCTTTAACCTGGCTGCATAATGGAACATGAGATCTCATTAAAAATCAGTAAATTTAATTTTTCTTGGCTTTTAAAGGAGAACAAAAGTCCCAAGTTTTTAACCTCATTTTTATTAAATCCACAGAAATATGCAGACAACACCCATTCCATTTGTAGAAGTTATACAATATTTTAAAAAAGCAAAGAGCAATTAGTGCTGCTCTACTCTGGGTTAGACTGAGGATTCAGGACCAAGACTGTCCACTTCCTTTCCTCCCTGAACTCTAAGAACGTTCACCAATGTAAATACAGTACAAGAGCAATTGTTTCTTCTCCCAGCTCCCAAAGTGCCAGGCAATCAAAACTGCAAAGGCATGACACTTTTTTTCAGTTCACAAATGGAGTAAATTGATTCAAATGGACCATTTCACAAACTGAATCCACGTGTGTTAACATGTGAGGATTAAGGCACAGACTCTGATATGCAGGATCAAAATCAGCTTTATTAAGCAAGCGTGTTCTTTATATACTTTTCTACCAAGGCCAGTAATTTTCTACTTTGTTTATTCCATCGCATACTCTAAAAGATCACATTCCCACCAAAAAGGGAATCTCTCTTCCCTGTGAGCAGCACCTCCTTATCTAGGGAGTAGCTTCACACAACTTCCTCATCTGCCAAAACAGCTGCTTATTCCTCCCTATTAGTTCTACCACACTTAACCCTTCTTTTGCCTCAGTCCCCAACATTAACGTGAAATTTGTGTGATACAAGCCATAATGTCTCCTAAAAGGCTCCTGCTTTTACAGTGCTGTATTTGGAGTAATGCTAGTCAATAATTAAAATAAAAATTAACAGGAAAAAAATAACAAACTGTTTATTAAAAGAATAATCCTTCTATGAGCAGAATCACTAACATGTTTTCCATGGATTAACTCAGATGACTTACCACATATCTCTACCACAGAGATCAAGTAGTGGTATAAATAATAAAGATATTAGGGCAAACTGCAGTTACAGCAATTTTTTTCCAACTGCCAGGTAAACGCAAGTCAAACATTTGCTCATATAAATCATATTCAAATAGAATTATCATGCTACTTTTTTTTTATTTTAAATTCAGGGCACCTTCCAATTGTTTTTCCTCAGTATCATAGTTTAGGCTGGGCTGGCCAATAAACAGAAAATAGTGCTCTCTTTAACATCTCTCCCTTCAGAGAAAGAGAAAGGAGAGAGAATGAGAGAACTTGTGTTGAAAAAGAAACTACACTACTTTAAAGAAATATTAATAATAAAAAGAAAGGATAATATTAATAAGAAAATAATGAAATATATACAAAACCATATCAAGCTCCCAGGATGACAATCACATCACCAGCAGACACGGGGAAAGACCCAGACTGGACTCGGTGATGGATGTGAATTAGATTCCAGATCTGCATTCAGGAACACACAGATTGGGATCAAAAGCAGACAAACTGAAAGAGTCCCCAAATGCCAGCCATTGAAGAAAAAGCTTGATACCTTTGATCCCTCAGCTTTTATACTGAGCATGAGGCAGATGGGATGGAATACCCTGTTGGTAAGTTTGGGATCACCTGTGCTGTCTGCTCCTCCCCACAGGTGTGACCCCTTTACACTCTTCCTCTTCTGACCCTCCATCTTGCTACATAACAAAGTTAGCTGACCTTGGTTGTTAGGGGAAAATAAGTAGAAGTTGGAGTCTCTTTACATGCTATTCTTTGGTATTAACTATAAACTTCAGGTCTTATTGCTCTGGAAGCAGACAATGTCTAAAGCATGTGCTGTTAATTTCAGAGAGTTAGAAGAAGCTTAATTTAAAAGTAAAATTACTGAAAAGAAAATTGGTTCTGTTTTACCTCAAACCAGGACAATCAGCACATTTCAGTCTCAAGGCAGTCCTCTGGCCTCCCCTTCCTTAGTCTAGACTTCTCCTGGCCTCCTCAAATTTTTATTTTTCAACTTTCACTATATGCCCACAATCAGGGAACTGCAACCTCTTTTTCCATGCAGCAGCAGGATGTGGACATACTTGCTCCTGGCTGGTGTTTGCTCTGAAGAACAGACTGCAGTGGCCTTTTTTTCCCTGCCCTTGCAATGAGTCTAGATACACTGCAGAATACTTCAAGAGTGTGGTAAGGATACTGCCCTTAGCAGCTTGAAAGAAACAGACTCTGTCCTGATGCACTGTAACTTTATAGGATTTTGGGAATGATCCGTGCAAATGAGCCAGTGAGAGTGACCCATGTAATTATTTTTATTATTATTGTTATTTTTCCTTTTATGTTATTGTTTCTATTAAACTGTCTTTCTATCAACCCCCAAGTTTTTTTCCTCGCTTTCCCCTTTTTTTTTTTTTTTTTCCCTTCTTCCCCCACTCTTCTGGGGTGGGGGGAAGGGGGGGTGTGAGTGAGCATCTGTGTGATTCTAATTGCTGGCTGGGGTTAAATCATGACAGACCTTTTTTAGCACCCAACCTGGGGCACGAAGGGTTGAGATAATGACAAACCCGATCAGAGCGCGTTACAACAAATTTGTCATAAGCATTCATTGTATTGGGTTAATAGTCACAATGTTGATTTATTTGCTCTCAGGATTGTGTCTTGCAATACCTTATGTGCTCCCTAATATGCTGTTTATCATCCCTAGGAAATTGCTGTGCTTTGTAGTGCGGGCTTATGATATGATGGAATCATGGGTGCTGTGGCTGTGCTTATTAGTGAATGAGCATGATGAACAAGGAGAGACTGCAGCAGCGGTTTCATCTCCGTACTTCAGAAACCTAGTAGGAACTTTTAGTAATTATACTCTTTACCTTTTCTCCTCAGAGAACCAATCTGTTGGGGGGGACATCTTCCCAGGACACCTTCCTTCACCTTCCCCTTCTCCTCCAGGCTAATTACAACAGCATTTGAGAATTTTGAATACCCTTCGGATGCTAGAACCAGCATACTTCTATTGCTGGGTGCTTCATTGCTTCTGAATAGTTTCAGGTCTTGCTTAGGGTTAAACATTGGTGCGTATGTGGGCACACTACTCCAACCCCCTCGACAAGTGCTGTGGCTATTCCAACCCCCACGATGAGCACTGTGGCTA